AATTAGGGACGGCTAGTGCAGATAGCCCTCGTGTAGCTTTGCGGGAAATTCAAAACAAACAAACTTTTCTTTTTAATTAACTTTATTCATCATTCAGAAGAAATGGTTAACCAGCAAGCTAGTCTTAAGATTAAGCTCTTTTTAAGAAATTGTCAAGCTCTTCTGTGCAAAAATATAAAAATTTCATACTGTCTTTTGCTTACGTCATTTGCCAAAATTCTTCCTTCATGTATTCACATTTACTGTTGCTTTTTTTCCTAAATATTTCAATAGATTCTTGTGGGGCCAAACATGACCCAATGGTTAGTGTGCCAAACTGTGTACCCAAGGTTTCGTAGTTCACGTTCCCTCCTTGGGGTCGATAGTGCATTAACAGGGTGACTGTCAAATCCCATTATTCAATAAGCATAGACTACGAGTTGGTGGCGGATGGTGTTAACTAGCTACCTTCTTTCTAGTCTATCAAATCTATCACTTCAAAATTAGGTACGGCTAACGCACAAGCTCTCGAGTAGCTTTGTTCAGCAAAGAACAACAGGTTCTTTCGTGCGAATGATAGTGAACAAAGATTTGAATCAAGTCAAATAATCATTGGTTGTCCATTTTAGCGTCTAAGTAATAAAAATACAAATTATCTACAGTCTAAAACAAACCCTAACTATCATTTGACTGTAATCTAATTTAAAAATTCAACTGAAACACTATATATTAAATAATATGTCTTGTTGGCACTGTACAAATATATGCTAAATATTATCTGGAATCACACCTACAACGCTCAACTTAATAGACATTTCATCCTTCAGGTTAATATTCTAACCTTCAAGAATTTTATTCTTAGCCGATACCATTATCCAACAGTTTTTCTTCCATAAAGGCTCATGCACACCATAGACTCTGGACCAGTTTTTTCATTTATCCACCTTTAAGTATCAATAGGTTAAACAAAATTCCATTGAAATTTTAAGTACCATTTCCAAGACTGCATAAATACGACACCGCCCTAGTAAATAGGTCTCGTATCAAGACTCGTATCTCGCTCATCAAGGCCTTCAGTGGCAGAAGATTTCTTTCTAAATCAAAGGGTGCACTAAACAACCTTCTCACGATCGCCTGAATGCATTCCAATAGTCACGATCTTGCTTGAAGCTGATTGTTCCATTCTACTCGAGTTGTCACCTCTGATGCCATAATAAATTGACACAGATCCTTTATTTTTTTCATCATTGGATATACACATTATCACTAACTTATCGACCTTTGGAGTTACAAGATAAATTTATCGATCGCTAACACCTACTCAGTTTGTACGGCTTGTTATATCCATTGTTTCAATCCCAGTCCATCTATTGACAACCAAGCAATCCTAACCACTATATCTAAGTATATTCAATAAAATATAGAGCTTACTGGCACACAACACTTTGCAGTAAAAATCACACAACACAAGCACGTAACAGTTTGAGATTGCATGACTTCAGATTCGAGCTAATTTTCAAACGCCGTTACTTCAAATTAAGAATGATTCATTCTGTATAGTGCAACAAGCTTGGAGACGATGCTTTTCAACTGCTAACGCAGATATTCATCGACTTGATGAAGGCCTCTGCTAGAAAACACTGTCTCCTGCAGCTTATAAACTCTACCCAATCATTACTTACGAAACAGAATATTTTCTAAACAACAATTAAATAGATGTTCTTTATATTACATTTTGTTGTGGCTTTTTACCTACCTTTGTGATTTTTTATTTAAATACAATACATTAAAGTTATGTATGATTAATATTTTAAGATTCTTCCTGCTTTATTAGATCTTACAAAGTTGTGAAATCTGTGATTATACACAGGTGAGCTTGGTAATAACAATATTGCGACACTACCCAAGCAGATAGTATATTTAAGGCAAGACAATTTTCGGATGCTCTGTTATATATTACAATTTGTGTAATGGGTATTCATGTGAAAATATTTATTCATAATTGAATTATGTTATATTTTTGTTCACTCTTTATGTGACTAAATGTTCAAATGAATGAAATTTGATTTACTGGACAAGTAGTGGTGTATTACTAGTTAAAATAAAACTTGTTTTGTATCTCCATCAACAATATGGTATTAGATGGATAAAACTGTTTTAGTGGGCCAGTAATGGTGTATTACTAGTTAAAATGAAACTTGTTTTGTATCTCAACCAACAATATGATATTAGATGGATAAAACTGTTTTAGTGGGCCAGTAATGGTGTATTACTAGTTAAAATGAAACTTGTTTTTTATCTCCATCAACAATATGGTATTAGATGGATAAAACTGTTTTAGTGGGCTAGTAGTGGTGTATTACTAGTTAAAATGAAACATTGTTTTGTATCTCAACGAACAATATGATATTAGATGGATAAAACTGTTTTAGTGGGCTAGTAGTGGTGTATTACTAGTTAAAATGAAACTTGTTTTGTATCTCAACCAACAATATGATATTAGATGGATAAAACTGTTTTAGTGGGCCAGTAGTGGTGTATTACTAGTTAAAATGAAACTTGTTTTGTATCTCAACCAACAATATGATATTAGATGGATAAAACTGTTTTAGTGGGCCAGTAGTGGTGTATTACTAGGTAAAATGAAACTTGTTTTGTATCTCAACCAACAACATGGTACTAGATGGATAAAACTGTTTTAGTGGGCCAGTAATGGTGTATTACTAGTTAAAATGATACTTGTCTTGTATCTCCATCAACAACATGGTGCTAGATGGATAAAACTGTTTTAGTGGGCCAGTAATAGTGTATTACTAGTTAAAATGAAACTTGTCTTGTATCTCAACCAACAACATGATACCAAACAGATAAAACTGTTTCAGTGGACCAGTAATGACTTAATTATTTAATGTTATCAACAAATGTAGCATATACTTCAAATGTCTGGAGTGACTACACACGCATAACGTAAATGTACTTTAAGTTTGTATAAACAATGTTTATTTTAACGTCTCACTTTCTATTTCCGTTTTTTCACAATTTTATATCATTCGCATTCTGGCTTCTTGTGGTCGCTTCTTTCTTCAATCAACTTTTATCTTTTTTTCTCTTCATACTTCTTTCTCACCATTTTATTTGCTGATATTATTATATATATTTAAATATAAGTGAAATATCAAAACTGAAATATTTATCCTTTTGACAAATATGTACATTTCGCAATAGGAAACAAAACAGAATATATTTTTTGTTTGTTGTTTATAAATTTAGACATAATTATAGTATAATTATAAATATTTTTTTAATCTTATTAAAAGTTAGATTATTGTGTTGTTGGGGTAGATTTTTATTTTCGCGAATTTTTATAAACAGCTAATATGATAATTTCATGAATGTCACAGAGACGCAATTTTAAAACAATACTATTTTGTAGCCTTAGACAAGCTTGGTTTTCGACATCTTTACAACTGCCACCAGATGGAGCTTGTCCAGTCTTGTATTGTGTTCGACGTAGCGTCTTTGATACTGTATGGAACACAAGCAATTCCAATTCGACTCAAAATCCTGCTAGACCGGTTATTCAGTGTTTTACAGCATGATGAAGTACTAAACGTGCTTCAAGGCTTTGGTTGGACTTACGAAGACTACGTTCGAGGCTACATACTTCAGGTAAACTTCTTTTGAATTATCTCTTTTCATGACATCTTGTCTCTTGTAACTCCTCTGTTAGAGCACAGAAGTTTTGCTTGACTCAGCCGGATAAAAAAGTAGCATGTTTGTTATATCTCATAAGCGTCTATGTTGTTATTTATTGTTATTGCTCTTGTTTTCAAATAAAAATGAGCCACATAATTATTTCCTGGCAAGCATCCAATAAAACAAATATCCGAAATCCTAAGCTGTTTCAGCTAAATGTATAACTCTAAGAACTAATTTGAAGAGCGGTTTTAAATAATTATAGAACTCTCTCTATATACGAAGCCAGTAACAAGTTCTTAGAACACCATTTTGTATTTTAAATGTGACTTATATTCATGAATATTTGTTCAAAGCAAACTACATATACTTTAACTTACTATATAAGAACTATACCCTAAATTATTTTAAAAAGTATATAAATATTTTGTTTTATTTTTCCCCGGAACAATTATCAATCTCCAGATGACACCACTAACGGATAAATTGTGTCATACTTTCATTTCTTTGTAAGGCATGTGAACGTGCTAAAACAGATATATCCATCAACCATTTCAGATTAATTTGTTATTATAAGACGTAATCAAGTTCTGTAATTTACAAAAATCAGCAACCTTTAAAAACATGCTGATTTTTTATGCTTTACTTACCCTGAAAACGGTCACGAAAAGGTAAATTCGATTAACTTTTCTGATCCACGATTTTTTCAACAAAGAATGAAGAAAGATTACTTGGAAGGGTCTTTTTCAATGTTCCACATGATCACACGGTAGCTTGCCATCCTAGACTGTTTTATATCAGTAATGAGATTTTATGCCCATTTCACAGGTGGGTGCTCCTCCTTCTGCCCCTCCCAATCTCTCCATCCTAGCCTTCTCTCTCCATTCTAGTGGGCATGCAAGTTTTAGCACAACAACCGCTCATGCGCTTGCCACGGACAAGCAAAAGTGGTAACAGAGTTAAAAAAATAAAAGACCAAACTATTAGGAAGTAAATTTTCTTGTCAGACAAGGTACAAAGAGTGTGATTAATGACGAATGTAGAGGCTGAAAGTGAAAAGCGACAGAGCTGAGCCCTGTTCTATTCCCACTAATTCCTCCGTCTTTGATGGTCATGCTGTAAGCCAAGTCAGAGTTCTAAATTATTCTGTTTAATATCAGCTTTTTTTGTAGAAACAAGTGTTGTATAGTACATGCTCAATTATGTGTGTATTATGTTTACGTTTCTTTTTCAGCTTATTTATATGTACTAATCAGTTCGTCTGCTGTATAATTGACGAGTTCAAGAAATAGATGTTAGCATATTTATTTTAACTGCATTTGCTTAAGAAGAAAGTGAAATTTCTGTAAAAATTACTAGTATATAAATCGTAGAATCCTATCTACCAACCACTAAAATTATACGTGCTCAAACTTGACATAGCTTGATCTTAATTTTATAAACAGACAAAAGGACAGCCAATCGTATAAGCAGACAGTTCAGATATATGTATATACAGAGAGAGATTACTAGATGCGTGTGAAAAAACATGATGAGGAAGATATCTTCCGCTGATAGGCCTATTTGGCGATTTGAGTTTCTTTAACCGCACGTGAAAACAAAAAAGGCCGACGAATCTCGTCTTCATACAAACTTCTGATTGAGTTGATAAAAGGTATGAATTTGTTCTCAAAACTCTTACTACAATCAAATTGTAGTTGATTTCAACATTCTAAACTTAATTGGACATATTGAGAACACACGCTTTCAGTAGGTAGTAAGAGCCTGAAGTATGTAATTATAGTCCTGTATAAACTGAAATCATTAGAAAAGTACATATACATCGTGTTGGTTAGCGACAGTCGAGATATTTGACATGTGATTAGAAGATGTAAAGATGACCTTCTACTTCTGGTTAAGCTATTAAGAAAAACTTTTCTTACATAGAGCGCAGTTGGCAGCCTTATCTGTGTTTATATACTTTTCACTAGCTCGGTGTAAACATTTCTGTTCGATTTAACCCGACTTTTCTAGGACAGACACTCTTGGTAAGTAAAGATAACCTTTTTTTATGCTATGGTAAATTCCAGTGTCTTACACATGATTAGAAACACGAATATCCAGAAAAATCTAGTATTTTGATAATAATGCTTATTCATAAAAATTGCATGTTCTGAACTTGAAGTAAAAATATCACGATTGTATTTTTTATTCATATCTACAGACTAAGAGCGATATTAAAAAATGTCTGGAGTCTGTTCATCACGTTTACTGACCTCCAAGGATCAAAGTAATGGGAGGCGAGCTTCTGTGCTTTATTGGATGTTCTCTCTTATTTTTGTGGTTTTTCAAGTCATTATTAAATTTATAATTATTGATTTATATGTTTAATCCAAACAAATTTCTCTCCACGAAAACAAGTGAACTCACGTGTCCTTAAATAACAGGCTTTTCACGTTTTTCGAAACTTCTAAATATGATACAGTAAATTGTAAATAGTTAGAAATAAAGCGTCGCCTATAAAAACCTTATTCCTGAACATTATTTGTGAAGTAAAGTTCACACCTAATGAAGATGTCAATAATGAAAATAAATAATCTACAAAACATGCGTGATTTCTTGAAATTTGTTTGTTTGTTTGTTTGAATTTATGCACAAAGCTACACAATGGGCTATCTGTGGTTTCTAGCGTTGTAAGTCCGCAGACATACCGCTGTGCCACTGGGTGGCTTTTCTTGAAATTTATATAAATATATGGAAATGGCTTGATGACCTTTGGTTATTTGTTGTTGTTTTTTCATATGACGTTTTTATATTGTTTATATTATTTATATAAATAAAGAAGAGCTCATGTGTACTTCTTAATTTCCTTCTAACCTCATTTGAAACAATTTTACTCTAAATAAAATATATAAACAGTTTGGTTCTAATATATACTCTAGCTGAATAAATAAGACTTATTTTCCAACCTTTTCATATATACTTGTGGGCCATTTTTGAGTACATGATATGTTTATCTAAGAATATGTAGCCACATTGTTCTATGATGTGGCATGTGATTGATCTATATATCAAAAGGATTTTTGTGTAACTTACATCTTAAAGCAAACTTCTACAATCAGAAATCATTAGAATATTATCACAGTATATACACACATTATCAATACCTTGGGCTCATAAACCCAGATGTGGCCTTTTCAGTGCGATGTCCGTCTTTGCATGTTCGCACCAGTAAAAACCCGGTTATATTAACTGTACAATACTTTTGTCATCACTAATAACACAAAGTTTTACTCTAAGTAATTCACAAGTGTAAATATCTTTCTGTTCACACGTACATTGATAATACACTCTTACCGACCTGATTTGTGAATTACGTCATAGTTAAAAATAATTAAACTATTTTATAATTCACGTTTGATTAAAAAAGTGTATCATTGTATTAAAACAATGGCTGTGTCATTGTATTCTTTTTATCAGACTTTCTCTGGTAGAGCATGGATTAACTACACTCACTGGACAATATGTTTTATTGATTTGTCTTCTTTGCTCTTGCAGTGTTCGAGTGCACTTATGATATAATCTCCGTTATTTTGTGGTTTAAGAACATCATTTCAAGCTTTCAAACTAAAGCTAAAATTTTCGTATTTAACTCATACATACATAATTTTAGACACAAACCAATATTCGTTACATACAATACGTCTTTCCTAATACATAGTTTTGGAACTTATCGTTTTTGTTCAACCCTTTGGTTCAATGGTAAGCTTACGAACTTACAACGCTAAAATCGGGGCTTCGATTCCCGGTGATGCACAAAGTACAGGATAATCCATTGTTTAACTTGGCGCTGAAAAACAACAACAGCGTTTACAGCAACATTATTACCGCGTCCTTAAAATTTAGTTTAAACAATTGATTGCTACATTCTGGTTCTTTCTAAGTGTGTAAGACTTGCTGTTTACGAACCAGTAGCAACACAACACTAGGTAGATGAAACTTGTTTTTGTGGAACAAAATTTGCTTAATACTAGACGGATGAAACTTTTGTTTTAATGGACAAGTAGTGACTTAATACTATATGGATGAAACTTGTTGTTTGGGTGTACTGGTAGTGGATTAATATTATATGGATGAGACTTGTTTATTTTTATTGGAAATGGTTTAACACTAAATTATTGAAACTATTGTTTTAGTGGACAAGTAGTGACTTAACACTAGATGGATGAAACTTGTCGTTTGGGTGTACTGGTAGTGGATTAATATTAGATGGATGAGACTTGTTTATTTTTATTGGAAGTGGTTTAACACTAGATGAATGAAATTATTCTACACTTCGCTTGTCTTGGGTATTCGTGTAAAGCTACGCAATGGCTATATGCTAGTCATCCCAAATTTAGAACTGATAGACTAAAGGGTAGGCGAATAGTCAGAAGCACCCACCGCCAACTCTTGGGCTATTCTAATAGAATAGTGAGGTTTGATTGTCATTCCACATCTACAACTTCAAAGTTCGGAGCGCGATTATGTGGCAACGAGCTGCGAACCATGACTACACTCGGCTCACTTGTAGAACAATAGCGGAACTTATTTTAACATGCAGCCTATTTAATAAAATTGTGTTTTACAGACAAGTCTCCCACAATTTGAATGAAATGTTAAAAGTATTCAGTTGGGCCAGGAGTGGCTTATTGGTAACGTGTAGGGCTGAGTATCGAAGTGTACGACATTCGAGTTGCGATCTCCCGGAACACGCTCCACATTTTCAGTTATTGGGTTCAAAGAGCCAGACGAAGTCCTTGTGGTAGCGAGTGTTATTGGCTAGCTGCCTTCCCTCCTTCTGGTCAATATCTCATAATTAGGGACGGCTATTACTGAATCCTAGGGATCTGTGACCTAAACGTTTTGTCCACGTCTGCATAAGGGTTCAGGTTTAAAATTCTACTTTCCAGTATTACTTTTTTCCCTTAACAATAATACCATGAAGTAGTGCA